GTAGCCTGGCCAGTCATGAAACTGGTTTTCAAAACTTCTCTGATGCGTACCGCGCCCTCCTGTGCTCTTCTAACCGCCCTGGTGTCTGGCTGCGTGTAACCAGCAGCCAGGCGATTTGCCTCAACCTCCCACCCCGCCATAAACGTCTCCCCCTTACTCTCACAGATATTGTGGAGCGCACAGGAAGCAGTAATAACAGTGGGAATATTGGTTTCGCTGAGGTCTAAGCGAGTCAGTAAACTGCGCCAGCATGCCTTTAAACGTCCAAATGCATATTCTACCACCATTCTGCACTTCCTCAGCCTGTAGTTGAACAGCTCCTGACTACTGTCCAGGCTGCCTGTGTACGGCTTCATGAGCCATGGCATTAAGGGGTAGGCTGGGTCCCCAAGGGTAACTATAGGCATTTCAACATCCCCAACGGTTATTTTCTGGTCTGGGAATAAAGTCCCTTCCTGCAGCTTTTGAAACAGACCAGAGTTCCTGAAGATGCGAGCGTCATGTACCTTTCCCGGCCATCCCACGTTGATGTTGGTGAAACGTCCCTTGTGATCCACCAGTGCTTGCAGCACTATTGAAAAGTACCCCTTGCGGTTTATGTACTCGCCGGCTTGGTGCTCCGGTGCCAAGATAGGGATATGGGTTCCGTCTACGGCCCCACTACAGTTAGGGAATCCCATTGCAGCAAAGCCATCCACTATGACCTGCACATTTCCCAGGGTCACTACCCTTGATATCAGCAGATCTTTGATTGCATGGGCTACTTGCATCACAGCAGCCCCCACAGTAGATTTGCCCACTCCAAATTGATTCCCGACTGACCGGTAGCTGTCTGGCGTTGCAAGCTTCCACAGGGCTATCGCCACTCGCTTCTCAACTGTGAGGGCTGCTCTCATCTTGGTATTCATGCGCTTCAGGGCAGGGGAAAGCAAGTCACAAAGTTCCATGAAAATGCCCTTAAGCATGCGAAAGTTTTGCAGCCAGTGGGAATCATCCCAGACCTGCAACACTATGCGGTCCCACCAGTCTGTGCTTGTTTCCCGAGCCCAGAATCGGTGTTCCACAGCATGAACCTGCCCCATTAGCACCATGATGCATGCATTGGCAGGGCCCATGCCTTTAGAGAAATCTGTGTCCATGTCCTGATCACTCACGTGACCGCGCTGATGTCGCCTCCTCGCCCAGTATTGCTCTGCCAGGTTCTGGTGCTGCATATACCGCTGGATAATGCGTGTGGTGTTTAATGTGCTCCTAATTGCCTAAGTGAGCTGAGCGGCCTCCATGCTTGCCTTGGTATGGCTTCCGCACAGAAAAAAGGTGCGGAATGATTGTCTGCCGTTGCTCTGACGGAGGGAGGGGCGACTGATGACATGACTTACAGGGTTGGCTTACAGAGAATTAAAATCAACAAAGGGGGTGGCTTTACATCAATGAGTATTTCAGGCAGGACTTCACGGAGGGTTCCAATAAGAAATGGTGCACCTAAGTAATTGCTCTTATTGGAATAAGCAGGTTGGTCTGGCCTCTGATTGATACATGGCTAGATTTACCTCGCTGCACCTTCTCTGTGAGTGACTGCAGTGTGACCTAGAGGAATGAGTCCCCTAGACAGGGGAGAGGGGGAAGCAAATGAGTACAAAACAAATCTGGTCTATTTCTTGTTTTGATCCACTCCATCTATCTTTTACATCTTTGGCTGGCAGCAGACGGTGCAGAAGGACTGCAAGCCATCCACATCTCATGGCTGCTCGGCAGAAGATGGTGCAGTAGGACTGCTAGCCATCCTCATCTTTTGCCTGCCTGGCAGAAGATGGTACAGTAGGACTGCTAGCAATCCGTATCGCCTGCCTGCTCACCATAAGATGGTTCAGTAGGACTGACTGCAGGACTAAAGAGAATGGCCTGGTCAAGTCACTCCAAATTTAGTCCCTGCGCCCATGTCTGCCCAGGCGCTCCTGATCGACCTCACAGAGGCGACCAGGAGCACCTCGGACATGACGATGATGGCTACCAGTCCTACTGTACCGTCTGCTGCCGCAAGGCAATGGGTTGATGCTGCTGTGTAGCAATGCAGTACCACGTCTGCCAGCACCCAGGAGACATACGGTGACGGTTACTAGAGCGGGCTCCATGCTTGCCGTGGTATGACGTCTGCACAGGTAACTCAAGAAAAAAAAGGCGCGAAACGATTGTCTGCTGCTGCTTTCACGGAGGGAAGGAGGGAGGGAACGGGGACCTGACAATATGTACCCAGAACCACCCGCGACAATGTTTTAGCCCCATCAGGCACTGGGATCTCAACCCACAATTCCAATGGGCAGCAGAGACTGCGGGAACTGTGGGATAGCCACCCACAGTGCAACGCTCCAGAAGTCGACTCTAGCCTCGGTACTGTGGAAGCGCTCCACCGAGTTAATTCACTTAATGCACTTAGAGCATTTTCTGTGGGGACACACACACTCGAATATATAAAACCGATTTCTAAAAAACCGACTTCTATAAATTCGACCTAATTTCGTAGTGTAGACATACCCTGAGGGCCTGAGCCTATATCCATTGACATTTAATGGGAAGACTCCTATTGATTCAATAGGCACAGAATCAGGCTCTGTGTGTCGGGTGTACACGCAAAATGGAAGTGATTGCATTATCAAGTGTGTCTTCTTTGCTCATGTCCAACCACATTTCATGCATGTGCACAGAGCTTTCCTAACATTTATTTTTAACCTCTTTACTTTGGTGTAATTGTCTTTGCCTGGGAGAGACTTCTCATTTTACCCCTGGGTGTTTCCTCTTTTTTCCTGCACATTCATCATGTTTTAAAAAGGAACTATTTGCTTTGGGGGAAAGGGCAGAGATCTCTTATCTGGCTTGTTTAAACATTTAGGCCAAAATTTTCAAAGTAATCAAAGATATCTGGACACCCAATTCCCATTAGAATGAATGAGAATGGGTGTCCACATGCCTGTAGTCCAGTGGTCTCCAAACTGGGGTGCGCGCACCCCAGGGGGTGCGCGAGATGATCCCAGGGGGTGCGCGGCAGCAGGAGTGCCACCGGACAGCACTCTGCCTTTTTTTTTCTTCAGCGGCAGCTCTGCATGTCCTCAGCTGGTGTTCCCCTCCGGCGGCCTACCTGCGGCAGGTCTTCCATTCTTCTTCCATCAGCAGCACGTCTGCGGCAGGTCTTCCGGTCTTCACCCTGGGAGGGCGCGAGCCAAAAAGTTTGGAGACCACTGCTCTAGTCAATGTCTAAAACATCAGCTGTAATATTTTGATTAAATCTAGTGCATTTAATTAGAAATTTGTATTTCATTATTAATCTGTGCTGGTTACACAATTGCAAAAATGGGATATTAGTAAAATTACATGTAAAGAAGAAAATATTCCAGGTGGTTCTGTGGCTTTAAAGTATCATGTTTATAGGTGGGTCCAGATCCTAACTTCCTTGCGGTTCAGCGGTGATGAGCTCCAGAATTTTGGGTCCCAGTTCTCCAACTGACTCTGCATAGGCAGATCTCTGAGCCCTCCCACAGCCCCATGAAAGCCAATGAATGCAGCTAGTTGAAAAATGGGAACTTTTTTTGTGTGGAAAAGAAAATTTCTGTTCAAAATTAGACATATTTTTGGACCAGCTGTATCAACGAGGATCCATGAAAATGCAGGGGTCCACCGACGTGGGCTCATTTTGCAGGACTGGATCCTTGGTTTTGTCAGACACTGGCTCAGCTGTATTGGAACTGTATTGGAACTCTGAAGAGATTAAGATTCTAATTGCACTACTTCTTGTTACTCATCACATTTACCTATATACTGTTCATATATTATTGTGTTGCCATTTATTCGGATCATTTTTATAAGTGCAATGCATAAAATATGTTAGCTGACTCTTGGGCAGGTAGTACATGCCATAAATCCAACAGATCTAAAATGCTCCTTACACACTCAGACTTCAGACAGAAAAGTTGAAATCTGTAAATACTTTAGGGTTCACATGTATCCTTGGTTCCAGAAAACTGTGGTGTTGGAGTTGCTTTAATCTCTTAAAAACAGTCCAATGTGATATTTAAAGTGATTAGCGGGGCATGATTAAGAGTCATATATTTACAATGCCCTGAATATGGCCCATTTCCTCTACTCTTGAATAGCTGGTGTGAACTCAATCATTAAGTTTATAACTTAAATGATGATGCTTTCAAAAATATCCCAACCTACTTATCCCCGCTCCAGGTATGTCTTCTGTGTGTCAGCTTTTATTCAACAAAGCGTTTAAGCATGTGCTGCAGTGCTCGGCTGAATTGGGGCTTAGGGCTGTAAGGCCGTGATCCACAGCCATTGAAGTCGATGGAAGGACTCCTTTTGATTTTTAGTGGGTTTTGGATCAGGAAACAACTTAAAGCCAGTCTCTGTCCTCATTTTTACATATTGTATAGTGCTGAGCATATTGTTGGTACAAAACTAATAATAATAATTAAAAAGAACTTTTTAAAACCATTAGTATTTTATTAGCTATGCATTAACAAATAAAATACTTGTAGCAACCAGCAATAAGTAATCCAGAAATAAAAAAAAATTCTTTACACACTGCTTTAGAAATGTACTGGGTGCTTCCCATAAGACATAAGAAGAGGTTCTTGCCCCAAAGAGCTTTCAAACCAAAAATATACTTATATACAGTATAACAGAACATGCTGCTGTATCAGAAAGAGTGGAAAAACAAAGGCATTCCTCAGTTTACACTGACCTCTAAGAGTAACCCAATACACAGTATATCAAATATTCCCCATTACTATCAATCAGCTGGACCATTGACTTTACAGAGATTGCTTTTTCCTTAAAAGTGTGCATGTGTATGCATAGCGGTATATTTATATTCACAAACACACTTTTATTGTCTACATTTCTATCAAATTATCTGTCCTTAAATTCTTCTTTTCTTCCTGGTGCTGTTTTTTTCTTTTTTTCTTAACTCCTCTGCAATATTGTTTTTATGTGTTGTTCAGTTGTCATCATTAAAGCTGTACTTTTAAAAAATAATTAATGCTGAGCAAAAGAAATCCCTGGCATTCAGGTACACTCACATGTTATATTTGACTCCCATCTTTTCATGTGCTGTATATTTATTCCTGCTTACTGTATTTTCCACTCCATGCATCTGATGAAGTGGGTTATATCCCATGCAAGCTTATGCCCAAATAAATGTGTTTGTCTCTAAGGTGCCACAAGGACTCCTCGTTGTTTTTATTGATACAGACTAACATGGCTACTCCTCTGAAGCCTGGACAAGGTGTATTTCTAAAGGTATGCTAACAAAACCTTTCACAGAAGGGCAGAGGCATCCTGGTCACTGGTATTCTGGGTCTGGTTGCTGCTTAGCATGCTTTCTGGAGTGGTAGTTAGAGAGCTAGCCTGGTATTGGTGGCAGGGCCCACAGGGGCACATGAATGAGCAACACTTTAGAAACAAATGACAAAGGTACTTCCTGAATTTTTCCCCAGCAAAAGCATAGATAAGTGGATTGAGACAACAGTGACTGAATGCTAGTGTTTCAGTCGCATGCATTGCGTAGTCCATAAATTCGTGGCATTGGTTAACCAATTTATAGTGTCTTAAAGTTTCCAGAAAAATCAGTACATTGTATGGGGTCCAAAAGAGGAAAAACACAACCACCACCACTAAAATTAGTTTGATGGCTCTTTTTTTTTTGTGATTTTTGCAGGAGAGCAATGTCCTGATGATCCCAAAATAGCAAAAGCTTATGACACAGGCTGGGATAAGGAACCCTAAGACATTCATTACCACATTGCAGAAAATAGGCCAGATTTCCTTAAGATCATCAGGGTACCTAGCGGTGCATTGTTCCTCTGTCTCCTGGGTGAACACAAATTGTGGCACTGAGACTAAAATGGCCACCATCCACACCCCAAGAGTGGTAAGAGAGCCATGGCTGACTGTTCTGGCTTTCAGAGAAAATGCTGCCCGAACTATGGCCAGGTATCTATCAATGCTTATGACAGTGATGAAAAACATGCCACCAAAGAAACCCACATAATAAAGCGAGGAGATGATTTTGCATGGAATGTTCCCAAGCATCCATCCACGCATCACATAGAAAGTCCAGAAAGGAAGCGAGATCACGAAGAGCAGGTCCGAGATAGCCAAGTTCAAGAGAAAAATGTCTGTGATGCTCTTCTCTCGGCTGCCCTTCACGATGGCAAAAACCACCAGGAGATTCCCCACCAGGCCAAGAACAAACACAGGGGCATATAAGGCTGGCAGAAATACTTTCCCAAACTCCTGGATGTTTACTTGGTCACAAACAGCAGCTGCTTCATCATAGGTAAATTCAGTCGTCACCTCAGGAAATTCCTGGGTCATGATGAGTGATTGCCTTGCAAAAGAAAATATAAAGGGAGGAAAAATAGTTATCAGAGAGGTAAATCTAGCAACCTTCAAAATACAGTTAAGTGAGCAAGGCAGATTCTCTTCCTGGAGACAGTGAATCAAGAGTTGGCCCCCACAAATAATGCCTTAAATAAATCTGTTTGTCAGCATAAAATGTAGGACACTCTGAGCGCTGGTAGATGTAGCATTTAAGGATTTCTACAACCCATTCTGTTTGTGGGGAATGATTAAAAACCAGTGAGGTGCCCACACTGCTTGCATAAAGCATGTGTTATTTTAATGGGTTGGTGCCTTTGTTTGATTGCAAATAACCATTTTTTGAAAATGTAGGAAACTCACAGGAATTTTGTATACCAAGAATACATGACACAGAAGCCCGGTAACATAACACAGAAAGAATGGCCTGTGAAAGCCCATGATGAAGGGGCAATTTACTGGTGTTCAAACCAATCTCCAGCTCAGAGGAGCTACCCCCTGAATCATGCTCCCACCATCCTCTGACAAACAAAAAGAAAAGGTAGATTGGAAATTTGCATGCTTCATTGTTGTTCATTTGTATAGCAGTGTTGCCCAGAGGCCCCAGTTTAGATCAGGCCACGTTGTGTTAGGTGCTGTGCAAATGTAGTAAAAGACAAAGGCTTCAGATAGTTCAGTAGAAGTCACAAGAAACTGCACTATTGACCATTAGGAATTCATTTGCCCACAGAGGATGTTTCCTTGTAATGCCAAGTCATTGGTGATTGATTTCTGCCATCCAGCGGGAGGTTTAGCTCTTATTTTGTAATAATTTATCAGCTATTTTCTGTGCTACCTGGAAGCTGTGGCTTTGTTTTACAACATCTCACTGTGCAAAGTTCAAACCAGCTCTACTCCAAAACATTTGACATGAAAAGTCCTCTTACACATTTAAAACCTCTTTGGGGTTTTGACACAGGAAAGCAGGCTGGAGAAAAGCTAATGACGAAGGATTCTCTGACTGCTGCTAGCTGCAAAGCTAGAGCTGGGAGTAGGTGCGGCAATGTTAGTAATAAGCAAAAATCACCCTTAGCCTGCTCTTGAGGTGCCAATGCAGGCAGCATTCTCACTTAAATCAATGGGCTGTCCTGCAGAGCCCAAACAGCAGCCACATCTGTGTCGCTGTATTTTAATTCAGTAGTCTCTATGCATTGGTCATTCTATGAAAACTTAAATGGGGAGAAGAAATCTGTTGCTAGCAAAGGCATAGTAAGCGCCAATGAAGTTAGAAAAATTCTAACTGGAAATGCGCTGTAAATCTTTTCCAGTGGGAGTAATTATTGGAACAGTTTACTAAAGGGATATGATACATTCTTCCTTACTGCATGTGTATGCACTAGTTCCGCCACAAGGTATGGGGATGCTGTAGAAATTACTGAGAGAAATCAATGGCCTCTGTATGCAGGAGGTTAGACTAGGTAATTATGATGGGCCCTTCTCATCTGATCTGATTTTTTTTATTTGGTTACACAGCTCTGTGATGGACATTGCAACATCCTGGATGGCAGGGTGAACAACGGCTGTAATGCTCAAATCATTCTCTCTGACACCATAGGAAAAGTGATCTTTTCTCTGCTCTGCCTGGTCTCATGATGCTGAGGCTTCTCTCGGACATCTGCCCATCACACAGTAAGTCACGTATTACTCTGATCTATGGGGTAAGTTCATCCAGCTATTCCCAAATATATGATCAGTAGAACTTGTAAATACGGCTAACTCCTGAAGCTGAATCTTGAGGTTTAACAGCATCTGCTAGCTACCCCCTCATCTCTATGCTGCATTTGATCCCCAGGTGTGTCGTTTGACATTCACTATTTTGAGATAGGGAACTTGTGGGTTTTTTTAACTTTCTCTCCCCCTTTATGGGCCTCAGCTGTGCTGACCCTCTCTTAATGATATAAGCTTAACCACTCTGCTTGTGGGTTCCTTTGGAAAGTTTCAATACCATACCGCACAAACAGCTGTGTTTGACAGACAGTGGCTTTCACACCATAGGGCATGCTGAGTCTTGGGGGGAATTGCAGACCCAGGCGGATGGTTGTACACTCACTTACCCATATTGCACATGCAATTGGAATGTGTGTGTATGTAGTCACCTCCTTGTGTCCTCCCACAGCTTCCTATTTTGTGTACATAAAGTGGGCGCCTCTTTTTTGAAAAATTGGCTCTTATGGTAACATTGTATTCAATTAGGCCAGTGCCTCTCAACTGGTGGTTCGTACCCGCCCAGGAAGGCTCATTATGATGAGTAGTACCAGTCTCTAAGTTTGTTAGTCTCGAAGGTGCCACAAGTACTCCTTTTCTTTTTAGTAGTACCAGTAGGTATTTATTTATTTATTTATTTGTGTTATGAAAGGCAATCAGGGAGGATGCTGAAAATGTTATTACAGCCTAAAGCTAAGAGAATCTCCCTCTCCCTGCATACCCTTACCCTTTGCATTTGGGATTCTTGGTCAGCCCCTTGAAACACACACAGGTAAATTCTAGAGGCTTATCATTGCTATATTTATTGCAAATGTAAGGGCATTTTGAAAAATGTTGATCCCTAGTAAGGGCTCCCTAATTTGAAGAGGCTGAGAAACACTGAACTAGCTATAAATGTTTGTAACAACCCCTCACGCAAACACTTGCCCCAGTATAATACAGGAAACATTAAATCAGCTTCTGCTTCTTTCTCAAACCATCTTTCTTCCTTTTTTTTTCTCCAGCTCATTTTATCATAGTCTACTTCCTCTGGTCCCAACCACAGCCCTGCTCTATTTTGTGCCTACCAAGCTTCCAGAAACATAGCTGTAGAGTATATTCTGCTTTTGGTTGCAGGTAACAGGTGATATACTGCCCTGCCAACCAGGGCCGGATTAAGGCAGGGGCTTTAGGGGCTGCAGCCAAGGGCCCTGGCTCAGGAGGGGCCCAGCAAAAATAAATCAAAGGCAGTGATTTCCAATTCTGTGCCGCTAAAAGTCCCGCGGTGCAGTGGGGCGCTTAGGCAGGCTGCCTGCATGCCGTGGCCCCACTCCACTCCCGGAAGTGGCCGGCTGCTAGCATGTCTCTGCGGCCCCTGCCAGGAGGCAGGAGGAGGCAGCTCCACGTCCTGCCCCTGCCCCCAGCACCGTCCCCGCATCTCCCATAGGCTGGTTCCCAGCCCATGGGAGAGAAGGGCTAGCAGCCGGCTGCTTCCAGGAGCAGCGTGGGGCTCTGGCAAGCAGCTTGCCTGAGGCCCGCTGCGCCGCTGTCTGGAAGCCGCTCTGGTAAGCACCTCCCAACCAGAGCCTGCACCTCGCACCCCCTTCTGCACCCCAATCCCATGCCCCAGGCCAAAATCTCCTCCTGCACCCAAACTCCCTCCCAAACCCCACACCTCCTCCTGCATCCCAATTCCCTGCCCCAGCCCCCTCCTGCACCAAACTCCCAGCCCAGGAAAACGACTTGTATACAGGGGCCCCACAAAGTCTAATAGCCCCGGGCCCACAGGAGAGTTCATCCGGCCCTGCTGGGAACACACTCTTTCTCACATCAGTGATTATCAAGCATTCTATCCTGTAGTGCAGTGGTCTCCAACCTTTTTATGCCCAAGATCACTTTTTTGGATTTAAGAGCAACCCAGGATCTACCCCGCTCCTTCCCTGAGGCCCTGCCTCTTCCCCAAAGCCCGCCCCACTCACTCTCCCCCACCCTCACTCATTTTCACCAGGCTGGGGTAAGGAGTTGGGGCTGGGGTTGGGGAGGGGATGTGGGCTCTGGGTTGGGGCCGAGGGGTTTGCAGTGTGGGAGGAAGCTCTGGGCTGAGCCTGGGGCAGAGGGTTGGGGTGCAGGAGGTGGGGAGTGTGGGCTCTGGAAGGGAGTCTGGGTGCAGAGTGTTGGGGTGCAGGAGAGAGTTTGGGGTGCTGGCTCCTGGAGGGGGCTCAGGGCTGGGGGTTGGGGTGCAGCCTCCCACCAGGCAGAATTTACCTCCGGCAGCTCCCAGTTGGCTGTGCAGCATGGCTGCCGCTAAGGCAGGCTCCCTGCCTGCCCGTCCCCACACCACTCCTGGAAGGGGCCAATGCGCCCCTTTGGCCCCTGGGGGAGTGGGGTGTGGGGGCGGGTGGCACATAGCTCTACACATGGCTCTGCAGCTCCGATTGGCCACAGCTCCCCGTTCCTGGCCAATGGGACGTGCGGGGGCAGTACGTGCAGGCAGGAGCAGCGTGCGGAGGGAGACCCCTGCCCCCCGTCCACGGGGCCATGCTGGCCACTTCTGGGAGCGGCGTGGGGCCGGGGCAGTCAGGGAGCTTGTCTTAGCAGCAGCCGCACCGGAGATGGCTATTGACCGGTTGGTGACCAGTGCTGTAGTGTGTATGTGTATAAATGTAAATATACACACATACTATATAAATTGTTTTGCAATCTGTAGTGGCCATGAACCACACGCCTGGTGAAAAGAGCAAACCCAGTTTTTATTTCTTATCTTTCCAGTCAAATTGCTTGCTCATTTCAACATGATGTTACAAACACTCATGCTAACCACTTTTAGACCATGCTAAGAGCCTGCAGGGGTTGTCTCTATGGTACAGAAATGTAAATGTGCAATACGGGGGCATGATTTCTACATCTCACTAATGTGTTAGGCATTAATTGGTCCATGTAGACCATGCTGGTGTGCACTAAAAGTTCCTTAGTGCTCTTTAATGAAGTGCTGTGGTACTATGTTAAAATGCACAAGGGGACTACAGATCAATTAATGAGCAAAATGTTAGTGTGCTTTAGAAATCACAGCTCTGGAGAGCACATTATCCCTCTATGTAGAGGTGCCCTGAGTTACAGGCATTACTGCTGACAAGTCAAAAGCAGACCTTTTAGCCAAAGGGCTATTTTAGATGTTCTCAGTCGGGTGCTAATCTAACACCCTGCTGAGACAGCAAGTGTAGCACTCAGAAATGTAACCCTAAAGGATTTTTCACACCTCAGTCACACCCTTCACACTCTTGTTTGATTTGCTCATCTAAGGAAACCATGGCTTCAGTGCACCCAGAACAGATATGGGTTTTCTCCCTGAGACCGGGTTTCACAGCAGGGAGGTATATTTAGCTAATGCCAAATAATTTATGCATGCAGTGGCCCTGAACAAGCCTTAACTTATAGTGGAGACGTATGTGAAGACATACGGATGCCTAGCCAGTACCACCCTAGTTATTCTCTGCCACCACCCTTCCCACACACAGATGCACCCACTTCTGTATTCTCCTAACTACACCCATCCTCCTCTTGCCTGCCTGAGAAGAGCTTGCAGGTCTAGTGTGTGTTTCTCTTTCACTACTTGATGATATGGCTTCTGGTGACGCCTCTGTGATGCTGGCAGGCCAGGTGCCAGCTCTTGCCAAGGCTGCAGGCACTATCTAAGAATGGACAAACTCCTAGTTGCAGACCAGACCAGTTCACCTGTGTGTGTTGAGTTGCTCAAAATAGGTATCAGTCTTATAAGAATGTATGTAGTATTTAGACTCTATCCAATGCTTGTCAGTTGCTGCATGCAGTAATCTCACTTGTACTGTCTGTATTCCATGCTAGAAGGAAATATGTAAGTTTTGCTATATAGCTTTTTGAAAATGTTTGTTTTAAACCTGTGAACTCAGATGGGAAGAGTGATTCCCCTTGCCTGTCCAGAAGAACTGTCAAAATCAGGTGGGCCGTCAAGAACCAGTGCAATACAAAGGATTGGTTAATGGCCTATCACACCTTGGAAATGCTACATGCAAGGAAGCTCATCCTTGGGACTTAGGCTATGTCTACACTGGCAATTGAATGATAAAACTTTTGTCTTTCAGAGGTGTTAAACCCCGCCCAAGACAAAAGTTTTGCCGCGGCAAGTACCAGTGTGAACAGTGCATTGTCGTCAGGAGCGGTCTCTTGCCAACAATGCGAACGCCACTTGTTGTGGGTAGAAGTTTTTTGTCGGCAGGAGAGCCGACAAACAGCCGTGTCGCTAAAAGCTGTGTAGTGTAGACATAGCCTGAGAGACAGAATGAAGGACTAAAACAAAGACACAGGAAAGTTTTCCATCTCTTTGCTGTTTGAACTCTCACAAGGCCAGAGACACTAAACTGAAGTCAAAGATCCCCAGGGGTTACTCCCTGGATCCACTGTGAAAGACACTTCGACTTGATAAATCACTACAACTGTCACTTTTAGGATTTAGGCTATGGCTACACTATGCAGCTTTTAGTGACACGGCTGTGCCGCTACCAGCATTTCGCTAAAAGGCTCGCAGAGTTTTAGATGTCAAAGTCCCATTTGCAAAAGTAACTTAGGGTAGGTCTACACTTAAAATGCTGCATTGACGCCGGTGTGCCGCTGTAGTTCTTAAGTGATGATGCTTCTCCCATTGGTGTACGTAGTCCCCCTCCCTAAGAGGTGGTAGCTATGTCAATGGGAGAAGCACGAGGGGTTAGGTCAACCTAATTACATCGTTCAGCGATGTGGATTTTTCACAGCAAGTGGCGTAGTTATCCTGATATAGGTCTGTAGTCTCTTTTGTGTCTCATTGACAGTCAGTGGGACTTAGACTCCTAAGTCCCAAAGGATCAAATTTAAAGGTATTTAGGTGTCTAAAGATACAGATAGGCTCCTGATGGGATTTTTACAAGCACTCATGGACCTAATTTCCATTGATTGCTTGATAATTCCATTGAGGTGGTTGGTGTTTTGTTGTTAGCCTTACAGGATGATAATTGCTAGGCTCACTCCGCTTTTCTTTTTTGAAAATGTGAACTCTATTTCAGTGGTTCAATGGTCGGGGGGATGTCTAGAGGGCCCAGCTCCCTCCTCTCCCCCTATTGGCCACTGACCAGAGCTGGGAGGCATAACAGCAGAGCCCCTTCCCTGCTGGGATGACAGCGGGTAGCCAGGCTAAATTTGAGGGGCATTGTGAGCTCGTGCTCCTGCTTGGCCCCCACACCTTTGACATCTTTCCTGCACCTATGGGCACTGGGCACCCCCAGTCTCTGTGGAGAAGAGGAGCAGGGCCACTGGGAAACCCCAGACAGGTGGAAGGGTTGGATCTGGGCTTTTGGTGCTTCCTAGGGAAGCAGAGAAACAGAAGTCTCCCAGAACTGCCTGGCCCCTGGTAGGGATGGTGCTATTCAGCTTGACTGCCCCTCTGGGTAGGAGCTTGGCTGTGGGGGTGGAGAGACCACTGGGCTGGGTGCAGGTGGGAGATCTTGGAGCTGGGTGCAGGGCAATGTGAGGGAAAGAGTGTGGAGCTAGGTATGGGGCAGCAGGAGGGGATCATGTGTGGAGCTGGGTGCAGGGCGGAGAGTGCGGGCTGGTTGCAGAGGCAGTGTGAGAGAGCTCAGGACTGGGGTAGGGGAGCAGCAGGGGGAGTGCTCTGGGCTGAGCAGTGAGGGGAGACTGTTGGGCCCCCTCCTTACAAAATTTCTGGTTGTGCCCCCGCTACATTTGTTTCTCCCAGTCTGCTGACCTCCCCCGAGCAGTCCATACTTTTTAGAAATTAATTTTCTGTGGGAAATATGTATGTTGGATAATTCCTTGAATGCTTTTAAGATGCATGTAGACTGGATGGGCCAATTCATATAGATTCAATTTTTTCCCTGAGTTTATCTTACCTGCTCTTTGTCAGTAGTTCTTTCTACAGGGTCTTCCCTCCTCTCTAATCATTCAGCTTTCTTTTCTATGTTCTGTTGAAGACAAATTTTCACATGGAATTCATTATCTTGCCCTTTTGCAAGACTGTTAATTCCACCCTCTCATTCTTCCTTAATACTGCACCTACTTACTTCCTTGCCCCTCTTTCCCTTGTTGTTGTTTGTATGATCATTTGAAGGATGCCATCCTTGAAATTAGAGATGAAAGACTTGTTAAGTCAGCTACTTCATCTGCCTGTCAATGAGGTACATTGCAGCCTGTCTTTTCCAGAACTGTCTGCCCAAGTTTTCAGTAATGGGGATTCCAACCAATCCTTCCTTTTAGGGATTATTCCACCATCTAATAGGAATTGAGAAATATTTCTTGGTATTCAGCCTTAACTTTCCTTAAAACAACTCCTTTCCCTTCTTGGTATTTTAATGAGAGACTTGTAGATAGTGACCGCATTTCTCTTTCGTTATAGTTTAACCAGTTCACTGCCAGTAACCACTACTACTTCGCTTATTGGTGGCTTGTCGCAAGGGAACATATTTGGAAGCACTTATTCATCTTTGTGGAGGTGCATCTATCTGACCTACATCATCATATTAGAGAAGCATATCACAAACATAAATACATGTATCTCCACAACCCCCTGTGAGGTAAGCCTGCCTTTATTTATTAATTATCCCAGTTTTTAGAGATGGGAAGCTGAGTCATAGATAGATCAAGCAATTTGCCCAGGGTCACATGGAAAGTTTGTGGCAAACCATGAATCAGATCTTCTGGGTCAGTGTCTATACCGTAAGATCATCCTTCCACACCATGCTTTCTCGCTTCCTTTCTCCTCTCTGCCATCTTCTCTGTATTAAAGGGACTTGCGTAGATTGATGTTGTGTGGTGGTTGTTTTTTGGACCATGTTGGGCAATAATATACCCTGGCACCTTGTGTATTTGTAAAATCTTAATACAAATCTAAAATAAAAACAATACCCAGAGACTGTCAGATGACAGGGTAGACGGGTCCTTCAGTCCATCCCTCTGCTCTAGTGCTGGACTGTCCTACACACTAAATCCATGAGTGTTTCAATGTGTCCTTAAAGATCTATGGTGGTGGTGCTTAATTATTTCTCACGGCAAATTATTCTACTGTCTATCTGATCTCACAGCAAGATTTCTCCCCTCCACCTCCATAATGACTAACCTAAACTTCCCCTTTTCTAGTTTCTTGGTTGTTACCCATTATACTGTCACCTTTAAGAACCTTAAATGTAAACTCTGATACCGGGAGGTTGGTACCTACAGAGTTCCTTAGATACATAAGAGACCATTAGTAAATATCCCTCTTCTATGGTGTCGCCTTCAAATTCTGCATAAAGCATAATTCTCTCTTACCTGAGTGTATGCTGCCATGGAAAGTGAATATGTTCTTCTAGCTGACCCTGATTGTTCCTTAAAAAGATTTCTACTTCTTCTGTTGTCCTTTTGTGGTATTGGCACTGCACAGCAACTACACAACCAGCTGCCAATCAGCAGGGGAAATGAACATTTCCTGGGCTGAACTGCAAAATGTTCTTGGGCTATTCATCTACTCATGCAATAATGTATTGCAGAGTCAGCTCTCTGCTCAGGTCCCACACTGGTAGTAGGGTGGAATAATGAAGCAAGGCGGGTGTCATGTTTTGGAGTGTGACCCAAACCAGAGAGAGGTTCTGCCACCACTTGTCCTGTGACCCCGAGTGCCTTAAAATGCTCTGCTGCTCTAGCTCCCTGTCTGGATGCTCCCAGCCAGCGTACAAGCATGCACCGAATGTCCGTGTGTTAAGCAGCCCTGGTTCAGCAACTCTGGCTCCACCAGCCTGCTCAGAGAATAAATATAAAACATTAGAATTAGCTTAAGCTTGGTTAGAGAAATGTGTGTTGTAAAGAAAAGCCCTAATTAGCAAGTAAAAGGCCTTGAAAGTAATGAGTAAGATGAGAAGGAAAGAAGTATGGAGGAGGTCTGGTTCCAAGACTAATGAAATAATGAAATAAAGGGAAGCTTCTAAACAGAAGGCCTCTGACCAACAGCAGTGACTGAAGATGGTTTTAAATAAGACAGAGAATCTGTCTTAAAAAGAGCCAGCATGGCCCTTCCCACCCCATTTAACAGTGTTATCTCCAATATTAGGGCCTATGTGAACCCGGGTGCAAAGGGAAAACTGTTGGTCACCAAGGAGGAGGGAAGAGATAGGGAGGAAAGGCCTTGAGGAGAAAAGGAGATGATAAATTTTATCTGGATTAATACTGAAAATAAAGGTGAATTTTCTCCAGTTGTTTTTTAGCTGAAGTCAGTAATTGGCAGTGACATCATTGCTTGTTAAAGGGTATAAAAAAGTAAACTCTTAAAGGGTTCATTGCTAATACCTGCCTGACCAGGTTGGAGCTGACCAACAAGGGTCTAAGAACCCCTGGGTACAGTCCAATTTGTAAGTACCTTATCAAATGCTTATAAACGTTTTGTTACCGTTCAGATGTAGTAATTGCTTGTAAGTTCAGCTTTTTAGGCATGTTTAGAGCAATTGTGTAAATACCATTCAGACTTCATATTTAATAACAGAATTTATGGTTACATCAGTGTCATGATAATATCCTGCATCAATAATTATAAGTCCAACATGGCTTGTTACACTACAGCCATACTCTGGTCTCCACCAGCCTTGGTTATTACTAGCCAAGTGACCCCCCCTCCGGGGTACCACCTGATGTACTGGGGTACCACTGAGCCCACCTGTTCCACCAGCCTGAGCTTCCTTACACTGTCCTGCTGAACCAGGCCATCAAGCCTCCTCCAGCACACACACCCAGCTGCACAAAGACACAGACACTGAAATCAGCACTGCATGGGAAGGCTTCAGCTAAGAAATTGCCCATCACTTAAGTGCACCCCTGCTCTGGAGTGCAAACGCAAAATCGTATTGTGAAAATTTTAAGTGAAAACTTTCTTTAAGTGAAAGCTTAGTGCTGCCCAACTCTCTGGCAAGGGGTAGGTTGCAGAGTGCATGGTGCCCTGACCATGTGTAAGCTATTTTATAGGCACTGCTTTCCCCCTTTCTTTTGCATACTGCAATCATCTAAGCCCTGGACTATATGGTATCTTGTTCAAAGTCACCTGAAGTAATCTCAGGTACAAAGTGCCACAGTTCAGGACAACTGCAGCTGTGTTCCCCCTCTGTGGTCCAGCAAGGGCACCTGCTCTCAGGCTTCCAGCTCCCCAGCCATCACCTCTCTTGGGTGGAGACCCACATCTCTCTCCCTTCTGACCAGGATATTTCCAGGCTGCACAGTTCCCTGATTGCACTGTGAGTTCTCCAGCAAGACAGATGGCACACACAGGCAATGTCTCTGCTTTGCTTTCTCTTGGAAGGCTACAAAGAGCATAACTGCCACAGTTGTAAGTTATCACCCAACTCTTTCTAAGCAAGCACATTTATTTTTAAGGTAAAAGCATTATCATAGAATCATAGAATCATAGAATATCAGGGTTGGAAGGGACCTCAGGAGGTCATCTAGTCCAACCCCCTGCTCAAAGCAGGACCGATCCCCAATTAAATCATCCCAGCCAGGGCTTTGTCAAGCCTGACCTTAAAAACTTCTAAGGAAGGAGATTCCACCACCTACCTAGGTAACGCATTCCAGTGTTTCACCACCCTCCTAGTGAAAAAGTTTTTCCTAATATCCAACCTAAATCTCCCCCACTGCAACTTGAGACCATTACTCCTTGTTCTGTCATCTGCTATCACTGAGAATAGTCTAGAGCCATCCTCTTTGGAACCCCCTTTCAGGTAGTTGAAAGCAGCTATCAAATCCCCCCTCATTCTTCTCTTCTGCAGATTAAACAATCCCAGTTCCCTCAGCCTCTCCTCATAACTCATGTGTTCCAGTCCCCTAATCATTTTTGTTGCCCTCCGCTGGACTCTTTCCAATTTTTCCACATCCTTCTTGTAGTGCGGGGCCCAAAACTGGACACAGTACTCCAGATGAGGTCTCACCAGTGTCAAATAGAGGGGAACATACTCTGGAGAAAACATATTAAAAACAATAAAACAACCTGCTGCACGCATGCTAATAAGCTTACCAGAGATCATCCCACCCCATCTCCACAAGGGCTCTGGTCGATGTCAAGCCCTCCACCACTTCCCTACAGATTGCCCCTTCCTCCCGCGTTGGCCAGGAATTCCTGTCTGTTTGCTGGATCAGAACAAAGGCCCTGAGTCAGGTTGAACTCAGGCTATTTAGCCAAAAGATCTTTCTGTGTCTGTTGGTCTCTGGAGAATCAAGTCTGAACTAGGATATGCGAGCTTCCCCAGGGGATGGAAACTCTCTCGCTGGAGGGACAAGTGGTTGCAATCTGTCTGATTTGCCTTAATCACTTAATTGACCCCAAGTATCGTGTCCAGCTCTTTGTAGAAACGGCAGGTCGTGGGGGCAGCACCGGAGTGGCTGTTTGCCTCGCGGGCTTTGTGGTAGGCATTCTGCAGCTCCTTCACTTTAATCCTGCACTGCTGTGTGTCCCGGTCATGGCCCCGTTCCATCATGTCCCTTGATATCTGCCCGAAGATATCATAATTCCTATGGCTGGAGCGCAGCTGGGACTGGACAGCTTCCTCCCCGCAAACACTGATGAGGTTCAGCACCTTGCCATTGCTCCATACTGGGGATCGCCTGGTGTGTGGAGGCATGGTCACCTGGAAAGATTCACTGAGAGCGCTCCATGCCTGGCTGAGCAAACAGGAAGGGGATTTTCAAAATTCCCAGAGAATTTAAGTGGCGTGTCTGACTGTTGGTCAGCTGAGGGCAGGGCAGTAGAGTTCAAAGTGATGACCAGAGTGGCTAGAACAGGCATTGTGGGACACTTCTGGAGGCCGATCAGAGCGCACTAACAGACCAGGGTGTCCACACTGGCGCGGCGGCGCTCCAGCGGGGGTGCACAAAACTTTATTCCACTTGCCGAGGTGGATCACCAGGAGCGCTCTAGCCGCAGAGTCAGAGCACTCTACGTGCCTTGCCAGTGTGGACGGGTAGTGAGCTAGTGCCCCCGGGGCTCCTTTATTGCGCTGTAACTCGCAAGTGTAGCCAAGCCCTAAGGTTTCAATCCTGCTTCCATTGACTTCAGTGGTGCCAAATTGTCTTATCCTCTGCTGCACTGACAGGAATAATCTCCTCAGACAGAGATCACCAGAACATGACACACTCTAGTCATAATCCACCCTACTTCTAGCTCTCCCCTGACAAACACGCTATCCTGGGGGAAGTAGCTGATATAGCAGATACTTCAGCTTTACACCACCAGGGGATTCTTCTGCACTAGGTGTGACGAAGTGGGACTGTTCTTAATGTTTCCTCTGAATAGTGTGGGGGTGCCTCAGTTTCCCCTAGGCAGTTCTTAAGTATCTAGGGGGTGGAGTAAGGGTGTATGATCATTGCAGAGCCCTAGAGGGCAGGTGTGTGCAGGGGTCTGGACACAGAGAAGGGCCGACACCCTGTTTCCTGGCAACTGATGGCCTGGGCCCTTCCCCCCCTGCAAGGTGAGAGCTGAAGGGTTGGAGAACAAAGGAATCAGGTGACCACCTGGCCCGGGAAAGGAACAAAGCCCAGAGGAGGAGGGGCTGGAGGGGGTTTTCAGTTTGGGGCTGGCTGGGACATGGAGTGAAGTGCAGATGTGGTTGTCTGGCTCACTACCCCCCAAAATGGACCCAGCTGAGGGGTCCCGTTCTCTGCACCTGCAAGCTCTGTTTTAGACCATGTTCCTGTCGTCTAATAAACCTTCTGTTTTACTGGCTGGCTGAGAGTCATGTCTGACTGCGAAGTTGGGGTGCAGGACCCTCTGGCTTCCCTAGGAGCCCCGCCTGAGCGGACTCGCTGGGGGGAAGCGCACGGAGGGGCAGAGGATGCTGAATGCTCCGAGGTCAGACCCAGGAAGGTGGAAGCTGTGTGAGCTGTGTGTCCTGAAGACAGGCTGCTCACAGAAAGGCGACTGCCCCAGAGTCCTGACTGGCTTCATGGGGAGCAGTTCCAGAGCATCGCCCAGGGACTCCGTGACAACTGGTGGCAGCGGTGGGATGTACTGCACCCCGTGGATGGCGCTTCCTGCAGTAAGTGACTGGGGAGCAGTAACACGAAGGGGGATTGCCGAGGACCAGGCCTGCTGAAGGCTCAGAAAGGAGCGTTTTCAGGGGGCGGTTAACCCCTGGGAGTGTGTGACCAGCGAGAAGGACTGTGCAGTAATGGGGTCCCCCTGGGGACTGCAGTGAGCAGTCTCAGGGGCGGAGGAGTCTGCAGCTCGACCCTGGCAAAGAGGTGGTGACCTCGAGAAGGGCTGGCACACTAGGGGTTCTCCCTGGAAACCGTGGGGAGCTGAGAACACACGGGCCTGTGAGTCCAAAACAACTTGGGAGGAGCGGAGTGATGGCCTGTCACCGTCTCCTTAAGAAGGACATTGT